GGCAGTCTGAAGGGCAGGGAAACTGCCCAATGAACATCACGGCAGAGGAGCCAATCAGCTAGATGTTGCTGGGGCCGCTGTGAGCCAATCATCAGCTGGCAGCTGGAAGTTTGCTGGGGCCCCTTTGGCTGTGGCTCTCAACAAATTACGTTGGAGCAGTTACATGAAACAGGTATTCATACACTGCTGGCATAACTTGTAAGAAGCGGAATTTGGCAGTGTTTATATAACCACAAGTGCTCAGATCCTCTCACCTAGCAGTTATACAAAATGGTGGGAAAACACAAAATGGTATATATGTAAGATAATTATTGGGACATTTTTTTTAACAAAAATCAGAGATTGGAAACAAAGTTGAAGTTTATCAGGTGGATGCTTGTTGAACAAACAATTCAAACTCCACATGATGGAGGTTCATGTAGTATTAGCAAGGATATATAATAACCATCTGGTTACATCCCTCAGTGACAAAAAGTGAAGAATAGAATATCCTTTAGCATATGTGACATGAAGTCAGAGGAGGTTGAGGGGGTTGGTTTAAAGATAGGTTTCCAATTTCTGATACTCATTTTGCCCATAATTGAGTTCTACTTTCCTTCCCCCGATATGGCTAGACTATGGCTACTTTGACCAACAGAATATGGTAAAAATGACAGAGCCCATCCTCAGGGGGGACTGGCAGCCTGCACCTCACTCTCTTAGATCCCTGAGTCACCTTGTAAGAAGTTCTTCTTACCCTACTAGAGACACCACTGCACAGAAAGGCACTGAGGCTACTTGGAGAGGAGAGCCCAGCTGAGCCCAATGTCCAGCCATTCTGTACAGCATGAGGCACAGGAGTGAGCCGCCTTGGATCCTTCTGGCAGCCCAGGCCAGCTGAGCCAGCACATGAATATGACTGACACATGGAGTGGAGGAAATGCACACAGTAGTAATCTGGTATTGATATCTTTTAAATGATTACATGTTTTGTAGTAAACGATTGATGTCATTAGGTGACAAAATGTTGAGTTTAAAAGAGGATAAATCAAAAAAGTTAAAAGACCCAGTAAAGTTCAATATGAATGGAAAATAACAGTATGTACTCCTATTTTATTGTTTCTAAAAATACATATTTCCTATTTCAGACCACTGAAAAGGCCTAGCAGCATCAACAACCAAGAAGCAGTGAGAAACCCAGTGCTAGACTGTGCTCTCTGAACATCGTTTCCCAAAGAGACACCAGGATCCCACACAGGAATGTCTGATTCCAAGTCTGGAACTGAAGATACATGAATCTGAGCTGTCCGGGGCCAAAAAAAGTCAGAAAGTTATGGAAGTCAAATAGGGTCATGCTAAAACGTCACAGGATCCAAGTCAAAGGCACATGCTGGCCCAAGATGACATAATGTGAGAAATGAATTATGACTGTCATGGATTAAAACCATCAAATATAGTTGTGTGCTACATAACATCTCAGTCAACAGCCGACTACATTTGCAAAGATGAGTCCCTAAGATTATAATGGAGCTGAAACATTCCCATCATCTGTGATGTCATAGCCACAGCAACGTCACAGGGTGACCCATTCCACACATTGGTGGTGATGCTGGGGTAAATAAACACACCACACTGCCAGTTGTACAAAAGCATAGCACATGTAACCATGTGCAGGACATAATACTTGATGATGATAATGAACAACTGTGCTACTAGTTAATGTACCTACTGTACTATACTTTTAGTCAGTATGTTAGAGCAGTCTCTTACTTGTAAAACAAATGTTTTCTGTAGAAGCGCACGCTCTGCAAAGTCCGCAGCAGACTCACACACCTGGTGTTCATCACATCTCTTGACTGCATCAAAAAGCTACATGGAAAGATTGACCTAGACTCTGTAGGTTTGTGTAAGTACACTCTATGGTGTTCCCACAATGACAAAATTATCTATTGGTGCATTTTTCACACTATACCCTTGTTAAATGAGGTATTCACTTATATAAAAATTCATGAGTTAATTATGATACTAAAAATAAATAAATAAACCTCAATCATCACCACTGGAGGTTGCAAAGGCACCAACTTATTGTTCCAAAATTTGGTACCACACAAAAATCAAACATTTATCCTACCTTATCTATATAATTCTATTTCAGAATATTCACAATAAGGGCGGGGGCACTAGAGGAGAATAGAGTTACCTTAGATTAGGTAGAGGGAAGTGAAGGAAAGGAAGGGGAGGGAATGTGAGGATAGAAAGGATAGTAGAACAAAACAGACATTATTATTTTATGTGTATATATGACTGTGTGACCAATGTGATTCTACAACATGTACACTCAGAAAAATGAGAAATTATATCCCATCTATGTATGATGTATCAAATTTGCACAAATGCATTTTACTGTCATCTATAATTAATCATTACTTACCTAGTATAATTTTTAAAAATAATTCAGGCACAGAAAGAAACATAGCATGATCTCATTTATATATGTGTAATCTAAGAAGAGTTGGGTTTGAAGAAGTGGAGAGTAGAATGGTGGCTAGCAGAGGTGGGGTAGGGAAGGAGAGGAAAAAATGAAGAGTTTCTGGCCCAGGGCAAAGATTAAGCCAGTCGGAAAGAGCAAGTTTTGAGATCACTTGCACATCAGGGTGACAACCATCAATAATAATATATTGTATACTTCAAAATAATTAAAAGAGTAAATTTCAAAGGTATCACCACAAAAACTGTCAAGGATTGAGGTGATAGACATGTTAATAAGCTTGATTTAATCACTTCACATTATATTCAGATACAAAATATCACATTGTACTCTATAGATGTAACGTGCTAATAATTTGTCAATTAAAATGATTTTTTTCATTTTTAAGGAGAGAGACTGATAAAGACATAAAAAGCAAATATAATATGTAAGACTAGGGGTATAGCACAGTGGTAGAGCATTTGCCTAGCAAATCTGAAGCCTAAGTTTCAATTCCCAGTACTACCAAAAAAAAAAAAAATCAAAATACAATATGTGGACCTTGTTTAAATCCTACACAACTAACTGTAAAACTATCTGAAAGAAAAAGTGCTTTGAGTTTATCAGTTTAACTAACGAAGTCAAAGTTAAATATTTACCTACCCTATGACCCAGAAATTCCACCCCTAATCATTTACACAAAAGAAATAAAAACATTCCCACAAAGACATGTACATAAAGTTCACAGTAATTTTATTCATAATAGCCAGGGGGGGGGTAGAACAAATGTCCATCAACAGGCGAATGGCTAGACATGGAGTAGTGTTCTTAAATATAAAGGAATAAACTGTTAATATACTCAATACTCAATGTGAATGGATCATGCAGATATAATTATGACAAGTGAAAGAATCCAAACACAAAACAATATTCTGATTCCATTTGCATGAAGTTCTACAATAGGCAGACCCCATCTATGTTGGGGGGGGAAGTCAGTAATAGCACTGAGCAGGAGGTTGACTGGGAAAGAGTCTAAGAGGATTTTCTAAGGTGATGCAGATTTGGATCACAAACCTGCATGCATTTGTCAAAACTAACTGAAATGTACACTTGGAATTTTCACAAGTTACTCTAGGTAAATTTTACCTTAAAAAAAATAGAATATAAATAAATACTGAACGGTGATCAACGGGTTCTCTTTTCATATTGATAAGGGTTAACAACTCTGAAGCCACTTTCTGTGTACTCTAGGCTTGAGAAATTAAGCAAATAGTTTGAGACTAAGTGAGGCAACTTTCTCAGTAGCAGAGTGTGACGTGCAGACATGGAGAGGGGAACTGCTAGAGCGCATCGGATGGGGTGTGACAGTGACAGGAGCAGCAAGCACAGTCCGCACCTCAGCCTTGGCTTCTAAACACCCTTCCCCACTAAAAAGGATGAGAACCCCTTTAACCAGCTGATTCCAGAACTAGAACAAGGAAAGCACAGGGCATCCTGGGATATCTTATTGATCCAGAAGTTAAGGAAGTGCTCAGAGAACAATAAGGCACAGAAAAAGATCTCAGGACCTGCCTCAACAGGACTCCCATCGGCCAAATCTGGGAAAACCTGAACATCAAAAACAAATGGTAAGTGGTGGGGGCTGTAGCCCACTGGTAGAGCACTTCCCTCGCAGGTGTGAGACCATGGGTTTGATCCTCGGCACCATATAAAATAAATAAGCAAACAAATAAAGATATTGTGTTCATCTACAACTGAAAAAAATTTTTTCTTGGAAAATTGGGAATGGAACCACCATTTGACCCAGCTATCCCACTCCTCGGTCTATACCCAAAGGACTTAAAAACAGCATACATGTGGGTCACAGCCACATCAATGTTTATAGCAGCACAATTTTATAGAACCAACCTAGATACCCTTCAATAGATGAATGGATTAAAAAATGTGGCATATATACACAATAAAATATTACTCAGCAATAAAAGAGAATAAAATCATGGCATTTGCAGGTAAATGGATGCAGTCAGAGAAGATAATGCTAAGTGAAATTAGCCAAACCCCCAAAAAACAAATGCTGAATGTTTTCTCTGATATACAGAGGCTGACTCATAGTGGGATAGGGAGCAGGAGCATGGGAGGAATAGACGAACTCTAGATAGAGCAGAGGGTGGGAGGGGAAGGGAGGGGGCATGGGGTAATTAATGATGGTGGAATGTGATGATCATTAGTATCCAAAGTACAGGTATGAAGACACGAATTGGTGAGAATATACTGTGTATACAACCAGAGATATGAAAAATTGTGCTCTATATGTGTAATAAGAATTGTAATGCATTCCGCTGTCATATATAAATAAAAAAAGAAAAAAAATGATAATTGATGAAAATACATTAAGTAAAATAGAAATCTGCAGGTTATACTGTTATAAAAAATGATAAATAAACAGGAAAAGAGATTATTGTTTATATGTAGCATAATATCTAAATATATATATGTAAACATATATATATTTATAAACATAGAGAATAAAGTTAGAAAATCACAATGGATACTGAAACTTGTGAATGAAATTTTAATGAGAACCAGGATATTTACACAGTCTCTAAAAGCACTCCACTATTAGCTGAAGTTAATAGTAGAATTGGAGAAACCTGAAGACACTACAGTGACCAAAAGCTCAAAGACATTACCAATATTACCTCCGGATGGGAGGCACAGAGATCAACACAACTTGACATCTTTGGTATTTCTGTTGAAAAGGCATAACAATCAAATCATAATAAAACTTCAAGCAATCTGAATTAAAAGACACTCTACAAAATAGCTGACTCATACCTTTGAAAAATGGCACAGTCAAGAAAGACAAAGGTACAATAAGCCAACAAATAACCCAATCAATAAATGGGCAAAGGAAACTGAACAGAAGAAGAAATACAGTCGATCAACAAATCTATGAAAAATGATCAACATCTCTAGCAGTTAGAAAAATGCAAATTAAAACTACACAGAGACTCCATCTCACTCTAGTCAGAATGGCAATTATCAAGAATACAAGTAACAATAAATGCTGGTGAGGAGTGGGCAAAAGGTACACTCATACATTGCTGCTGGGACTATAAATTGGTGCAACCACTCTGAAAAGCAGTGTGGAGATTCCTCAGAAAATTTAGTTGGAACCACCATTTGCCCAGTTATCCCACTCCTCAGATTATACTAAAGGACTTAAAATCAGCACACTACAGTGACACCGCCATATCGATGTTTATAGCAGCTCAGTTCACAATAGCTAAATTATGGAATCAGCCTAGGTGCCCTTTAACAGATGAATGGATAAAAAAATGTATGTTTACACAATGGAATACTACTCAGCCTTAAAGAAGAATGAAATCATGGCATCTGCTGATCAAAGGATAGAGCTGGAGATTCTCATGCTTGGTGAAATAAACCAATCCCAAAGAAACAAAGGCTGAATATTTTCTCTGATGTGGAAGCTAAATCACAATAAGAGGGAAGGTAGGAAAGATTAGATAAAGGGGATTGACGGCAAGGAGGGACAAGGGGAATAGGAAATAGAGTAGAATGAATCAACGTTACTTTCTGACCACTAAAGGGAAGGTCAGGAGACACCACAGTGTCTCCAGGGCTGGGAGGAGCAGGAAGCCTCCATCTTAACCTGAGCATTCCTTACTTTTTGTGTGCACTTCACTTTATAAAATTTAGCATCAAGGGAACCCAAAGATAAGAGCAATTCCTCATGGGGTGCACTAGGCTTTTATGTAAGTGACATCCCTGAGATTTCACATCTCTGTTCCCCAAATCCCATGTGTTCACTCCCCATGAACTTCAGCTGGGACCAGGAGGAGCTGCTGGGTGGGGAGGCTGCATGGCATGGGGTGAAGCCCAGGCCACCCTCCGTCCCCGCTCCCTCACCCTCTCTCCTCTTTCTTGTGCTTCATCTTCCTTTCTCCACTGTAACACACCTGATGAAAAATGTGTATTTACTGACATGTTTAAAACAAATCTACAGAACCCAGGACAATGCATTGTCTATATTCTTTGCTCATAAAATCTCTATTGACTAATGAATTGAGCTCAGAATCACAGACAATAATAAAACATCAATTTCCATTTTCTTAGATTTGATAAAGTCTGATGAAGGGTAGATGATTCAAGATGGTCAGCAGACAGAATCCTAATAACCTTTTATAAGTAAGAAGTCATGAATTGAGGCCCAGTAAGGGTCTTCTCCCTCGGTGCTCCTCCTAGAAGTTGCTGCTCATCAGCGGCTCACTCTGCGCTCTCTCTTCTGGGCCTCCTGAGCCAACTGGCTTGATCTCTGCACCTACCAGTGGTCTCAGGCTGTGGGCTTGTGTAGTTGAATGTGTCTCTGTCTTAGTCCTCAGTTGGCTCATATTCCTTGATGGATCTGATGCCATCAGCTGGCACTGAGGAGAGGATGAGAGAGAGGGAAGTAGGTTTAGGAAGGGAAATTGAGAAGGAAAGAGAAGGAAGGGAGAGGAAATGAGAAAATGGAGTGGGAGGGAAGGAGAGGGAGTGAGGGGGTAGGGGATTGGGAGAGGAAGGAAATGCTTATTGTGGGTCCAGAAAGTGCCCTGGGTATTACAAAAGATTTAATCTAGATCTTTTCATAAGGACTTCTCAAAGCAATTGAGCAAAGGGAAAACCAGTGAACACAGAATCCTGCATATTTGCAGAGCTAGCCCAGAGTCAGGGGCCACTTGGTCTACCTCCTTACACACCACTGAGGAGACTGAAGTCCTGCCTCAGGTGACACGCTTGGTCAGTCAAAGCAGGGATTACTGCCACCACATCCTAACTTTCACCAGGAGAGAAGAGGCGGATACCAGTGAATCAGTTGCAGAGAAATCTCTCCCAAGGCAAGAGGCTCCTCCCCTTTTAGATCATCTTCCTCTTTGAAGAGAAAAAAATATGGATGGTTTGGGGAAGGGACGGGCCAACCTGTCTCAGTGAGATACAGGGGAGGATGGCACCTGGGGGTGGCCTATGAGTCTTTTGGGGAACCTATGTGGTTGGCCTTCCTGTGACCTCTGCCTTGAGAGAGACCTGAGTATCTGCTCTTGCATTCTATCCCAGGGGCACACAGGACACAGGAAGCCTGGTCACACCAAATGACAGGAAGCTGATCCCAGGAGGCAAAGGGAAATAGATGCCCAATCCTTCAGGCTGGTCACTAAGGAACCCCTGATGGCCATGTCCTGCCCCTGGCCCTTAAAACATTACATGTGGATGAACACCATTATGAATGACAACAAGATGATCAGCAAACACCTTATTTTGTTTCTACTATAAAATGGTAAGTACAGCCTGAATTCCAAGTCTGTGAGACCTGGAGCCATTTACAAACCCATATCACAGGACAATGTCAATGTCATGAGCCTTAAGGAACAATCTCTGAGCCAATACATCAGGAGAGAGTTTGGTGGAGGACATGGAATAGAACTATCGTTTTAGGGAGTACATCAATGACAAAATTTCCTGTATTGCGAAAAGAGATTGTTATGTATTTTTAAAATAGATGATGTTGGTACCTCAACCACAGTGGTATTACATCCCACCAAATGATCTTTTAAAAGGAATCTAATAGTTTTATTATAAAATGCCAATATCTACAACTTGTTGAAAAATTTATTTTTGTTACTATTTAATCATACCAAGACAGATTTTAGAAATCTTCTGAAACTTGTGAAGTCTTTTGCTTACAGATGCTCTAATGGAACTTTGAACGGGCTTTGAACAATAGCTAGGACAATATTGGACTTCCTAATAATAAATTGAATAGAGCAAAATCTAAGTTTTTGGCTAATTCGGGCAAATTTATGTGAGAGTTCCTTGTACTATTCTTGTGATCTTGACATTTTTAGATAAAATTTTTTAAAGTTCTGAGTCAAAAAAGAATTCTTTAACAAATCAGGGATAAGAAAATAGATGGGGTTATAGGATATGAAGCCATCCCTAGGCATGGCCTGGTGGTTGGTTGTTAAGTCTTTGCTAGAGGTTCTTGCTGAATTATTTGTGGGTCATATGACATAATGTCTGGGATTTGCTTTAAAATATCCACATGTTATGGTTTTGATTTTAAATGTTCCCTGAAAGCTCACATGCTAAAGGGTTGTCACCAGCCTGTGGCACTACGGGTGGCAGGGGAAACCAGGAAGTAGGGATTGTTGGAGAAATAGGTCATTGCCTATCCTTTAAGGGGATACTGGAAAGCCAGCTCCTCCTCCTTCTCTCTCTCTCTCTCTCTCTCTCTCTCTCTCTCTCTCTCTCTCTCTCTCTCTCTCCTCCACTAGATGCTTCCACCTTGATACTCTGCCTTGCCACAGACCCAAAGGCAATGGCAACAAGCAAACATGGACTTAAACCTCTGAAAGTATAATCCAAAATAAACATTTTCCTCATTTTAAGTTGTTTATCTCAGGTATCTTGTCACATCAACAGAAAACTAACACACTCAATAAGGAGACAGAGAGGATAGATAAAAGAAGAATGCTGAATGCTAATAACTGATAGATCTGACTGAGGAGTACATCAATCAATGATTCTCTTCACTGCTGCATAAAATTTAAGTTTTCCATTTAAAAATAAAAGGTTGCCAGACACATGAGAAGTGGATTCTCCATTAGTTAAGGAGAAAGAAACTTGCAGCTTAGATCCAAGTTCCCACTCCAGTGTGTCCACTGTGACCTCACTACACAGCCTGGGCAGGTGACATGCACTGGGACTGAGCCTGGATATCTGCAAAGCAGGGTAAGAAAATGGCCTGTCTCACTGTCAGGGATATTGGGGGTGCAGTAGCCATGTCTGACGATGGAGTTCAAGTCCCACTGAGAAAGCAGGGCCTGGCTAAGTGCCCTGCCACTTTGCAGTGTTGCCCCTGTGCTCAGCCAGATGGCTCACCGGCCAGCTGAGACACCAGTCTTCACAGTCCCCTCTAAGAGGACTGTATTCCATATACACATTTTTTGCCTTTCCAGGTAATTTTTTAGCTGAAGAAAACATAAAGGGGGGATGGTAGGAGGGGGAACTAGGACAAACCTGCCTTGTTGCAGAGAAAATATTTATAACAAGGGTTTTTCCTTCTCAGGAAGAAACTGCTTTCCAAATGCAATGATGAGTTTCCTGAGAGTCATTTGCAATGCTCAGGGCTCCAGAGCTGGTCCCTCTTCCCCTGTCTCTCTGCTCGCCCCCTCCACAGGCTGATTAACTTTCTCTGCTGAGTGTGGGGACATTTGTCCATGGCAGAGCTCATCCCCAGCAACGCACAAGGTCCTCTCGGTCTTCTGAATGGGAAAGGGAGACGTCCACTTAAGGTGAGGTTCACTGAGCCCAGGTCCAGAGACACCATCCAGCTGGCAGGGGAGGCCTTTCGAGTGGCTTGGGATAAGGAGCAGATGACCTCAGGGAGCCCTGGCCTTGAGTGTGCCTATGTGGCTCATGCACAGAAGCTCTGCACACGTGCAAGTGGGAGGCAAACAAAACAAAGACGGGAACCCTGAAGTCTCCTTGGGGAGGCTGAGGACTAGACATCTTCCTTCTGCAAATCCTGGGACACCACCCACCTTTCAGACTACTGCTGGCCCAGCCAAGGAATCCAGATAGGGTGGGAAGAATGACTCTTGCCCAGAATGGAAAGGGCCCCACCCCGCAGCCCTTAAAAATGAAAATAAATAAATAAACTGTAGAGACACGGGAGCTGCCTTGTAATAAAAATAGTGATGATCATCCATCATTCCCTGGGGGCAAAGAGTGCATTATTCCTTTAATTTTCCTAAAAAATGCTATGTTGTATACTTTATCTCTACTTTTTATTATAGTATATTATTGTACTATATGTTGTATGTTACAGATTACATTATAAAATCATTTAGATTCTTTTATTATCTCCATGTGAGAAATCTGAAGATCAAGTGACTCCCTGCAGCCACAAAATAAGTGGGAAATGGAATTTGAACCCAAACAAGCTGGAGTCTTAAGTCCCTGCCATTAAGCTCAGGGTGGCACTGTGACCAGTTCACAGGAACCAAGCCCAAACCTGAATAGCAATGGCCCCAGGTACCACCTCCAGCTCCAGGAATGGAAGACTCAGTCGAGGAAGTCTGGCAGTCAGAAGGAAAAATGCAGACCTGGGGTCTGAGTACAAGAATAAGATCCAGGCACTTAACAAAACCTCCAGGTACAGAGCCAGGGAGCTGGAAACAAGGACATCTGACCTATAGGGACAGATGTCCAGGGCTGTCATTGAAACATAATTTTTGCTGAAACTGAGGAGAAAAAAAAAATTTGTTGGAAAGTCTGTTAAAGATTAAATAGGATAGGAAAAATAACTTCTAAAGCTTTACAGCAGAAGAGAATTACTATGGTCGACAACCATTAATAGTATATTGCCAAATAGCTAGTAGAGAGGATTTTGAATGTTCCCAGTGCAAAGAAACGATGAACGTCTGTGGTGATGAATATGCCAATTCTCCTGATCTGACCATTATATGCACGTATATATGTACACATGTATCGGAATGTCACACTCTACCCCAATAAATATGTACAATCACTGTATGTTGATTGAAAGTACAAATATAAAGAAAAGTTAAATAGGAGCCAATCTAGGTGGGGATGGCTGAATTCAATTGACAGTTGCGGGGAAAGAGCAGTCACAGTGGGCTGCGGGGGGGGGTGGACTCAGTGGATCCCTGAGGGTAGGTGAGATTAGAACAGGAGAAAGGGAGCAGCAAACACCTGCTAGGGGTTGCCAGGATAAATAGAGCAAAGCCGAGCTGAGTATTTCCTCCTTTGGCATCAAGTGAGTTTCTGGTTTTCCTTCTCTCTGAGATAAAACTTCTGTGAACAGGGCCCTTTCCTGGGTGTGGCATTTTACAAGGTAGACAGCACCCAGTCACCCTTCCCAGGTCATTCCTATCGTTTCCCAGTGAGGACCGGGACCACTTTATGGAGCACAGATCCTAAGCTCGTAGAGACTGGTGTGAGGTGAGTGCTTTACTCCAGAAAGACCAAATCAGTTTCAAATCCAGGTCTTCAGAGACCTTAAACTGTGCTGCTAATAACTCGGTTTTGAACTTCTCAGCCTCCAGAATTATAAGAAAATAAATGTCTGTTCTTTAAAAATTACCTAGTGTATAGCAGCACAGAACAGAGCGAGACGGGAATTAGAAGAGTTGTAACAAGTGTCCTGACCTAATCTCGGAAGTAATAAAAGGCTCTGCAAGGAAGTGACAAGTAAGCTATCTGAAAGATGACTAGGAACTAATAAAAGAAAGAGCAGCTTGAAAGCCAGTCCCAGAATAGTAGCCCGTGGGGACAAGGTCATGGGGCTGGAGGGAGCTGTGAAAGGCCAGCAGAGCAGGAAGCGGTTGAGCAGGCGAGAGCCAGTTGAGTGCCACTGGAGAAGAGGCAGGGCCAGATGGGATGGGGGCCTTCATCCTGGGGTCACAGGAACTCAACTGATGCACGATTAGAACGTGTCAAAGTGGCTGCTGTATACATAAAGAATCACATGAGAATAAAAGTGGAAACAATATTTAGAAAATAAGGGCAGCAGAATTGGTGGGAAGTAAGGGTGGTTTCTAGTTAGATATGGTCAGGGACGCAGAGGTTGATGGATTCCAGAGATAGAGAGGAGGCATTATCAACCCAAGAACATTTCCCAGCAAGGAAGACAGATCCCATGTGGCGCCCCTCCTGGTCACCCAACCCTATGTGGGAGTTTCTGGTACAGCTTCTGGGTGTCATGAAGAGGAAAACTGGCAACACTGAGGTGATCCTAATGACTCAAGATTATTCAGCTGAGAGAAGAACCCAAGTCTCCAACCCCCATCCCACCACCCTTGGTACCTGGTACACCTGGGAGAGTACCTGAGGATTGCACCACCACCAAATGCCTCCCAGACCTTAGGTTAGTCTTTCCATGAAATAAAACTCCACGCTATTAATACATCTACACAGCCCATTTTCCAAGAGTCCATGAAGACCTGGTTTGGATGTAAGGTGTCCCGCAAAGCTCATGTGAGAGACAATGCAAGAAGGCTTAGAGGTGAATTTGGGGTTATAAGAGTCTTAACCCAATCAATGAATTAATTCCCTGACAGGGCTTAACTGAGTGGTAACTGAAGGCAGGTAGGATGTGGCTGGAGGAGGTGAGCACTGAGCGTCATGCCTTTGGGGTATGTTTGGAATCTGGTGACTGAAGTCTCTCTCTCTCTGCTCCCTGCTGTGGTGTCTTGAGCTTCTCTTCTCTACCATACTCTTACGCCATGATGTTCCACCTCACCTTGAGCACCA